TACACTGCTAAATTAGGGACGGCTAGCGCAGATAGCCCTCGTGTAGCTTTGCGCAAAATTCAAAACAAACAAACACTTTGTGTGTGACTTTACCCGATATTCTGAAAGAAACAAACTTTCACGTGAATGTCCAGTTCCCCCCCCCCTCCCCTCACTCTTCTCTAACATTCTGGATTTTGTTCAATTCTTTACAAAATTCATCAGCAAAACGCTAGTCTGTTTGTTTGTAGTAAAGCACAAAGGTACATAATGGGCTATCTGTGCTCTACCCACCACGGGTATCGAAACCCGGATTCTAGCGTTGTAAGTCCGCAGACATACCGCTGTGCCACTGGGGGACAAAACGCTAGTCTGTTTGTTTGTAGTAAAGCACAAAGCTACACAATGGGCTATCTGTGCTCTGCCCACCACGGGTATCGAAACCCAGATTCTAGCGTTGTAAGTCCGCCGACATACCGCTGTGCCACTGGGGGACAAAACGCTAGTTTTAAAAAAATCCATTGTTCTTTAATCCAAAGTATATTTATGTGATCTTGTCTTGTTTGTTTTTTGCTATCCAAAGTTGTTTTTTTCTACCGAATAATTTAAAAAAAAAGAACGACTGTTTGTTTTAGCTCAGAGCTATACCACGGAGAATCGAACCCCCGCATTTTGGCGTTGTAAATGAGTAAACTTACCATGGACCTAGTGGGGGATTATAAAACAAAAGGGGAACAAATAATCGTAATTTTTAGAGTTATTATCATATCGTTTTTTTTTTCTTTTACATAAAGCGAGTTTTGTGCAGTAATATTCTTTATTTTCGTTTTTTTTTTATTCTTCTTATTAATCGATTTAAATATATATAAAAAAGATGTTATATAGAAGTTAAGGTATCCATTATTCTATTTCAGTTGGTAACGATTACAAACAACCCGCGACCTTTTACCTCGAGAGCGAGACACACGGCGGAGAAGACGTCCCCGTTTTCGCAATCGGAGCTGTGGCTCATCTGTTTCACGGGGTTCACGACCAGACCTACATCCCCCACGCCATCGGCTACGCTGCTTGCATTGGACCAAACAAGGACTATTGCAAGGGTGCTGCAAGCATAAGCCCCATCCCAAGTTTCTTAGTTCCTTTCGTCGTACTTGCCCATATATTTTAGTTCCTTTCGTCGTACTTCCCCATATATTTTAGTTCCTTTCGTCGTACTTCCCCATATATTTTAGTTCCTTTCGTCGTTCTTCCCCATATATTTTAGTTCCTTTCGTCGTTCTTGCCCATATATTTTAGTTCCTTTCGTCGTACTTCCCCATATATTTTAGTTCCTTTCGTCGTACTTGCCCATATATTTTAGTTCCTTTCGTCGTTCTTGCCCATATATTTGAAACAATATTATAAGAACAATAATGGAAGAAAATGGAAGGGCGGCCTCCAAGTTGGAATTTTTAATTTACAATTTAAAATAAACACGGGAGTATCGCCTAGAATATTATGCAATTCAACACAGGCACATATTTTTAATTTCGTCTGAAAAAATTCTCAATATTAGCTGTGATATAGAAAAAAAAATTCGAAAAATAATTTTTGTTTGTATATATTTCGAGCATCTTCTAGAACTTGGTAAGTTCTTTTTTATTTCTTCTCTGTGCAATTCATGTATTTTATCTTTAATATAAATGTTCATGTGGTGCACTCTGGTGTTGAATTTTATCTATTTTTTCAACCGTAATCTTTTTTTTGTGGACCTTTCTTCTTCAGGACTCCCAGTTTGCTCCTGAAGATGAAAGGTCCATCTTTCGAAAGCGCTCGGGTTATAGGTAATTTACTCATTTCTATCAAGACTTCTTGAACCTACGTGTTTTTCTAACATCATGGATGTTTTTTGTGGTAATGGACTGGTACAAATAAAATTTAAACTGAATTTTTGTGGATACAATCTCGACAAGCATACCAAGATTGAAGTAACACTTCCCCCCCCCCCTTTTTTCCGAGAAAACCGAGAGAGAGAGGGAAGGAATACGAACAACATGTCAGAATAATATACCACGCATATCACTATTTTTTGTATCTCGTACGAAAATGTGTAATTATGTTCCAAATGTTTTTTTTTATTGTATTAGAAACAAGGTAATGCTTTATTTATGTTATACAAAACGCTTATGATTATCAAAAGAGACAGAATAATTAGCACGAGCCGAAAGGCTCCATAAACTCACTGGATGCGTTAAGCGACTGCGCGGATCACACTTTCTCTCCTTGAGGCCGTAAGGTTCGTTCACTTTTAAGCTCCTCGCGAGCTTTCTTGCGCTCAACTTAGCACGTGAGCAAACTTTATTTACGTCCTCGGTGAGTTAAGTCAGATTGCAGCCGCCAGAGGAAACGATCGTGTTGACTAACAACATTGGAAGCCACACTACCACCGCTGCTGAAGGGACGATAAGACCCTCCGAAGGTATTTATTCAGTTTACTTTTTCATATTATTAAGTTATAGGAGTTATTATTTTCACCATTAACAGTCAAATATATCTTAATAAAGGCTTTGTTTTATCAGTAGTGATGATGTACCGATATGTTTCGGCATATCCATTCGTATTCAGTTTTGATATAGAACAGTATTTACATCATCACACACAGATTCGTCGATTAATAAACATGCCAGTACTGATGCTAAAAAGATTACTCTCCGCCATCTTGAATATCTTCCTCATTGGTCGGATAGTTACCCAACTTAAGGACTGGTCACTCGGTGTCACGAGCTGATCCGTGTGACACGCGCCCAGTGTTAGCTTGAGTGACGTCAGATGGAGAGGTGGCGATTCTGTAAGTACTCCACCGTCATCTTCTCAAAAGCCTGCAAGTAAAATAATACACAGGTAACATAATATACACAGGAAAAACAATACACACAGGTAAAATAATACACACAGGTAAACTGTAAGTACTCCACCGTCATCTTCTCAAAAGTCTGCAAGTAAAATAACACACAGGTAACATAATATACACAGGAAAAACAATACACACAGGTAACATAATACACACAGGTAAACTGTAAGTACTCCACCGTCATCTTCTCAAAAGCCTGCAAGTTAAATAATACATACAGGTAACATAATACACACAGGTAAAACAATACACACAGGTAAACTGTAAGTACTCCACCGTCATCTTCTCAAAAGCCTGCAACTAAAACAATACACAGAGGTAAAATGATACACCTTACTACAAAAATGATCCAGTGTGTGTGTGTGTGTGTGTGTGTTAACATCCATCACCCAGAGTTGGCTGGCTTGATTACCATAACGTTTGGTATGGTAACTTGAAACTACCCGACGGTATACGTGAGCTATTTTGTTTTAAGATTTTTAACAGAGAAGGC